TTTGTTGCGACGATTTATCATCCACCTGGGTCCTATATATATACTTCTTTTTTCTTTATCAATTAATGTCCTGCCAAATTTTTGGTTCATAAATTTGCCGTTAGTACGTGACAATATTTTCTTGTTGACTTTTTTCGGAGTGAGCAGCAGTTGGGGGATTCTTTCTACCTGTCAATTGATTTTAATGGCATTTTGTGGCTGTGTCTGGCATTTAAACTAATTATAAAGCGCCCCTTGAAGTTGAAATCTTTATGGGAGCGTAAATTAGTCGATAATTGGTAAAAGTGTGAACACACCAAATTCAGTGATGGGAAAATGGAAAACCTCACTAACCGCAAAAAGGACAATCATATACACATGACACAGGCAGGCTGACAAAATATTCGAATGAACCGCAGAAACATTGTTGCAGGCCTTGCATGTGGTGTACGAGTATTTATATGTATATGTTTTTTTTTTTTTTTTTTTGATTTCAAGGATGAAGGACGAACAGCAGGGAACAGCTGCCAGTCAGTAACAGACAGACGGGAAAAATGACAGACAGATAGACCACAGTCATAAAAAAATCAGCAGCAGTCGAGCGACAAAATGCATTTGAACCAGTTTTTACGAGCTGGGGCTTAAGAATTGCAATAAAAATATTTTTGCAACAATTTAGATGCCACAGTTTCCCCTTCAGTGGCATTAGCTTTGGACATGCAGTTAGCTTGTCTTTATTGCCTGGCCACATTAAGCGCCATTAATGGCCAACCCGCACAGGCGGATGGTCAGTGATTTCCTTTTATACCATACATTGTGTTGGCATTGCAACAGAGCCGGTCTTAAAATGAAATGGCTAAAGGGAAACTGCATCTTGGCCAATTAGTATTTTACCTCAAGTAAGCAGGGATGTGCTGCCCCTAAAAATATATTTAAGAAAATAATATAATGTTTCAATTGAAACGAAAACTTAAAGCCTCGATGGTAACATTGCCATTATAAAAATATTCCTCCCAACTCCTGTTATTGTTTATTTTCACTCTGCTATTTAATATCGTTAAAATTCATTCAAGTGCAAAACTTGTCGATAAACTTTGCCTCACCAAAGAAGACCAGAGTCGGAAAAAGCGGTTTGGGAGAGAAGAAAAAACTGTTAGGGAAAATCTGGGGGAAAATATGGCGTCTTTGATTTTGACATTGTGCCACATCACGTAGTGCATATACATATATAAATATGTTTGGTTGGCGGAACGCCTGAACAAGCGAAAATAGCGCATAAATTTATGACACTCGTATTGGAGGGGGGCGTGGCATGTGGCATTTGTGCAGCTAAGCGTAGCAGCTTTTCGAGGGCAAAAAGAAGTGCAAAAAAAAAATTGAAAAATAACCATATATATCGAAAACTATTTATTTGGCAGAAAAGAGAAAGCGAATGTGACACATTTTCCTCGAGTTAAATATGTGATAAAGTTGACTTTGATTTCGCCACTCGACTGCAGTTAACCCAAATTGCTTCAATGTCAGCTTTCATGGGCGCACAAAAGACTTGAGATCCTAGAGGAGAACAGGAAGCCTTTCGAAAAAGGATTTCCCAGCAGCTGTCCAAACATTACAGACACAACTCACCATCAAATTCGTTGGATGTCAGTGGGCGAGAGTGTGTGTCAGAAAGCTCAAAAGCTCAATGGGATATCTTCTATTTGATTTCGAGTTAGTTTATAGGAGTGTGCGGTCGGGTTGAAGAATGCAATAAAATTGGTGTTAGATAAATAGATAAAGTATTTCAAGGGTTGGCCCTCGCCACGTAAGCCGATAAAGGCGATGGGTTAAAAGCTTTCTCAAATTGGGTTAACTTTTGACTTTGGCTCTTGGTGTTTTCTTTATTGTAAAATATTTCACCCCATACATTATATTTTCGCTTATATCGCGCCTTAAATTCCACACATCCCGGCAATGTGCTTAATAAAAACTCATAAAATTTCATTTATCCGTGCCAGAGAAACTCAAAGAAGTGCCTGGCATGCGGGAAAAATCTGCGTCAAAAATAAATATATGAGCCAACGTGAAATTTTTACAAGTTAAACATCAGCATTCAATATATATTGCATACGCCGCGTAGCTCGCCCTCATCTGCATGCAGGTAAATTGAATTTTGACATAATAAAGTCAAGGAAGGAATTGCTGTGAGGATTTAATAAAAATCCGTGGGCTATATACGAGGTGTGTTCAAAAAGTAAGGTGACTTTTCAAATTTCTCGGGCAACATATTTTCGATTATCGTTTTTTTTGTTTTGTTATATTGGTACACTCTTCCCTAACATCTGTACCAAGTTTCAATGGAACATCCTCTTTTGTTTGGTTGTGAGAGGCGTAAAGTTACAAGTTGTTTTGCGAGCTCGGCGATTTTTTGCTTTTTTCGGTCTTGGCTCGTCTGGGCTCTTCCATTGGGACGATTGGGCTTTGGTTTCGATATCATAACCATATACCCATGATTCGTCACCAGTTATGACCCTTTTGAGTAAATCTGGGTCGTCGTTGACGTCATTCAACAGCTCTTGAGCGATGCTCATGCGACGGTTCTTTTGCTCAAAATTCAGCAATTTCGGAACAAACTTCGCTGACACACGACTCATACCCAAAACGTTTGAAAAATTTCATGGCACGAGCCAAGCGATATACCGACATCTTCAGCAACTTCTCGATAGTGATTCGACGATTTTCCAAAACAATTTTCGTCACTGCTTGAACGTTTTCATCAGTTGTTGACGTGCTTGGGCGTCCAGAGCGAGGCTGGTCATTGGCATCTTCCCGGCCATCTTGGAAGAGTTTGTACCACTTGTACACATTTTTTTTACTCAGAACAGTTTCACCGTATGCCACTGTCAACATTTCAAGTGTTTCAGAGCACTTAATTTTATTTTTTACACAAAATTTGATGCAAATCCTTTGATCCATATTTTTCGATAGCAAAAAATCGCCGAGCTCGCAAAACAACTTGTAACTTTACGCCTCTCACAACCAAACAAAAGAGGATGTTCCATTGAAACTTGGTACAGATGTTAGGGAAGAGTGTACCAATATAACAAAACAAAAAAAACGATAATCGAAAATATGTTGCCCGAGAAATTTGAAAAGTCACCTTACTTTTTGAACACACCTCGTACATATATTTATTCGGGGTCACCACAATATCATCCTACGGGCCAGAGCGAGCCACTGGGTATTTATGGGAGCCGTTGGATAACAGTTTTCCTGCGATTAAACTGACACTTATTAATTATAAAAAGTACCACAATTAAGAACAATATGCAGAGCAATGAAAGACTTAAGTTCAGATTTCGCAATTACTTAATTTCCATTGCAAAGAGATGTCATTATTTTTAATGATATATCATGGGTAATTAGTATGGCATACTGGCATGGTAAAAAGTTCCATTTGCCATTCACAGAATACTCAAAAATATGGGATACAAAAATGTTCATTCCGGCAAATGCAAGGCCTTTGACTAAAGCATAAATATTAATAAGTATGCTGGAAATGATTTGCATTTAATGCCAATCTAGCAGCAGGATTTTGCCAAGTTTTAATTAAAATGTCGTCACATAGAAGCATAGCTACAGTCGAGTTGGCAATTAGCAATGTTTTGCAATAAATTTAATTCAAAATTGGTCCCAAACATTTGCTAATTTAAGCGCCAGGCTGAGAATGCTAGCAAAGGGTTAGGAACTTATCACACATACGCCATGTGCGCCCGGTTGCAATGGGAGTTGTTAACCTGCACGACCAAATGTGCATAATTCTTGCACACAGATAATGCCCAGTCAAGGCAGCAAATTTATAAACCGAAACACAAACAACGCAGGCACAAGAGAAAGTTGTCCTCTGATGTCCTTCTCGGGATTGCTAAGTAAATTGATAAACAGAAACATTTGCGTCGAGATTCTAACTAATATACTGTAAGAAAATATTACAGGATTTGGATATGTAATAGAAATAAATTAATAAGAAACTATAGAATGTGATACTCACAAATCTAAAAGACTATTATTATAATTAAAGATATATATTTAATAGCAGAATTAGTGAATTATCTAACATTTTTCCACTGTGCACTTGGCAAGTTCTAAATGGGCTGTTAAGCGGCAAAAGTTTTGTCGCATCTGTTGCCATAGATTTGTGTGTAGTTTTCAGGTTTTCCTTTGGTCCGATGGTCTTTGCATTTATTTAATTAAAACGCAGTGGCTTTGTCGTCCGTTGTTATTGGAGCAATTATAAATGATATATGTAATTTACTGGCTGCCTGACATCTCTGCTCACTGATATGTCTCATTGTCAGTGGCTTTGTTTGTCCTTTTCCTGGGCTTGCCCTCAAATGAAAGTTTTCCATGTTCTATTTACCCTCTCCCTGGCATATTAAATCATTAAATTTGAGGTCTTTGTGGGGCCATTTAAAATTCATTTTGGGGAGTTCGAAGCCATTTTGTCAGCCACAATAGGTGTTGTTCAACATTGCCAGCGGTAATAATAGTTAATTATGCGACTGAATACCCAAGACAAGAGGTTTAAATGGGCTGAAAATAAAATTTCACTCGAATTCATTTGCAATCGCATTACCGCTTACTCTGCTCTCTGTGATCAAATGGAAAAACCATGAATATCAAATAAATTACATCATCGCACATGCAAATAAAAATCAAATGGAAAACCAAAATATCCCGGACTATTTAATATGCGAAACGCGTTTGAAATTCCCACGCATAAAATGAAAGGAAAATAGTAGGGGAGGCAAAAGAAAGCCTTAAATAAAGGGCAAACAAAATGTTTGTCGCCTTAATAAGAGGCGTCAAATTGTTGCTCTGTCTGGCGGAGAAAAAGTTTCCCTCATTGTGTCTAGTACGTGATAATTGCGAAGTACCAACAGTCTTTGAGTGTCAAATTGAAAACGAGAAATTTAACCGAGCGAAAATGGTGTTTTCATTTTTTTTTTCTTGTCTCTATATATTTTTTTTCCCATCGACAGTCACCAAATTCATACGCATTGGCATCGCCGATAAAAACGATAATCCGCCCTATTTCGACAAATCGCTGTACGAGGCCGAAGTGGATGAGAACGAGGACATTCAGCACACAGTGCTCACTGTAACGGCCAAGGATCACGACGAATGTAAGTAGAGGGTCTACTCTGGTTCAGCCACAAAAATATGCCCAGAAATTCCACAATTATTATCTTACACACACATTTTTCTCTTTCTCCTCTTTTTCCATCTTTTTCCTGAATTTTTTTCTGTGGTTTTCCCTCACAGCCTCACGTATCCGCTATGAAATTACAAGCGGCAACATTGGCGGCGCTTTTGCGGTTAAAAATATGACGGGTGCCATTTATGTAGCTGGCGCTTTAGATTACGAAACTCGACGCCGGGTAAGTAAAAAACCAAAAAAAAACCCAAAAAAGAAGAAAATAACAGAAACCGCGTACACAAAAAATGAAAAATGCAAAGTGGAAACCCGTAGAGGAGTCCTCTGTAATCGACAAACGTTCTTTCGCAGCTCAGATATATTTATGACATAAGCGTTGCGGGCTTAGTCAACTGTGAGATTTGTTTATGTCATTGGAAAGCTGAGAATACATAAGGGACAACAGGGATTACAGTATTACATCCCCCAAAAAAAAAAATACATACGCAAATTTGTTTAAAGCTAAGGAAGAACTAAAAGGAAATAAATGCAGAGCTTCAAGAGGATTGCCTAAAGCTCTCACGAGTCAAATATCTTAGTTAACTTTAAAGAATCCCTAGGAATACCACAGGCAAATTTCATTTCACTGCCCAACCAGGCATTAAGGCCATCCTCTACTTGGCCAACTATAAAATTCATTAAGAAACTCGCTCTCCTTTTGAATTTCAATTTACACGCTTCGCACACCGCGAGGCTGCTTAAATATTTAAAAGTTCAAACAAGTTTTGCTACACGAGCTGCGGTCAAAAAGTCAAATACCGAAGGCAAGAAAAGGGATGGCCAACCATTAATTGAATTGCAATTTGAACAATTGGCCAAAGTGCAGAGTCAGTCAGTCATTCAACGCTGGTGACTTTAATTGAAATGCTGCCAGGGAAACTTTGTCCAGGAAATATGCAAATATTTTCATTTATTAAGCCAAACAATTAAAATTGCAATTTGAATTTGATAATAAATATGAAAATAAATAATTTGTGAATTCCTTAAATATTACGAGAAAAAGTTTATTTTTCAACAGCCATGAGGAAAAAATAAAAAATGCATTGTTTTAATAGATGAAAAATGTTGGAAAGAGAAAAGATTTAAAAATGGAATATATTTTCATATGTTGTGGCAGCTACAGGGACTATTAAATTTATAAAATGTATTTAGTTTTTATTCAACATTTAACATTCAGTAAAAAAGTACAAAATGATATATGTATGAAAGCGAACCTGTTTATGATAAACTTTTCTCTCTGTGCGTTCAGTACGAACTTCGTTTGGCCGCTTCCGATAATTTGAAGGAAAACTACACCACCGTGATTATCCACGTAAAGGATGTTAACGATAATCCCCCCGTTTTTGAGCGACCCACTTATCGCACCCAGATTACCGAAGAGGACGATCGCAATTTGCCCAAACGCGTCTTGCAGGTCAATGAATGAAACAAAATCCAAAACTTAGTTCACAACTTTTGTTTTGTATCTCCAGTAGAGTTTTCATTCCGCTAGATTTTATTGCATGTTTTGAATTTTTGTTTCAAAGTTTTTCCCTGTCCCAAAAAATTGCCTGAACCACATTTTATTGCACAAAAAATAGACACACATAGCGTTTAAAACAATATTTTAATGCAATGCAGTACTTTTCGATGAAATTTTTTATTTGGATTTTACTTCTGTTGGCAACATTTATTTCAATCATGTGGAAAGTGTCTCAATTTTTTGGCTCTTTTCCATTCACTCGATAAATTGTTGACATATTAAAGGTATTTACTGCTGTGCAATATTAATGGACTTTACAATCCCCGTTTTTTTTATTGGCTTGTTTTGAAAACACCTACAATCAAAAAAGCAAAACCAATACATTTGTTTAAGTATAGAATGCAGTTGAAATATTTGCATGTTGTTCCTTCCCCGCTTTTTCGTTTGATTTAAGGCTAGTGAAAAGTAATTGGACGATTAAAAAATACTGTCCATTCTGGAGTGGACAAATGTTGTAAAATGTGGGTCTGAAAAAAAAGTATGAAATTTATTTACAGAGTAAACCACACTCACACATAAAGCATTTAAATTGTGGCTTACAGAAAAAATGTATGGTAATACTATTGATTTATCATTAAGCAGAGAACGTTGAAAAAATATTATTAAAATTAAGATGACTTCAAAATATGTCGATTATCATGCATACTTTGAAATTACTATGCCGCTTGTAATGCATAATTGAATAAGTCGATTAAATAATTGCATTTTAATGAGCAAATACCCGAGTGTGGTTGAATATGAAAAATGCAAATAAGCTGTCGAGTCAAGAGTGGAAAAATATTTACAAGATATTCCCTGGATTCATCTTCAACATGTGTAAATTATAAAACGAGCTTTTCATTTAAATTTAATCAATAGTTTTATGGTTCTTTTTTTTTTGTAATTTATGTGCATTTCAAATTTATTGTTTAATTTCGTTTCGTTTTTTCCACTTTTTTTGTTCTCTCCCCTTTACCAATTTTACGTTGGCCGTACATTTTATTTAATGTTTGCATAAAGTACGAACTGAAATTGGTTGCCTCGGACAGTTTGAATGAAAATCAAACAACAATCGTCATAAATGTGCGCGACGTCAACGATCTGCCGCCGCAATTCCCGCAGACATCCTATGAGCGAACTCTCGACGAGGGAATGACCGACACGCCCTTTACCATCATGCAGGTCGCTATTTTATTTACCATATCAGAGTCCTGTATATAAAAGCATACTGAATATAAAATACCATATAGCATATAGCATAAGGCAAACAACAAAGCAGCTCCTCCACAACAACATAACAATTAATTTAACCCAACAACCGAGACACACAAAATCTCATTCAGTCTCATTTCCCATGTAAACTTTGTGTAAACCAACCATAACAATACGTAAACATAATGAATAATCGCCGTGTGTAAGGTGTAATATTCGAATTTATTAAAACCCATTCTACGGTAATTGTGTAAATTGAAAAGAAAATTCCACTGGGCATTAAAAGTCTATAACTTTACGGCTGCATTACAAGCAGAACAATTAGTGGGTTGGCTTTAACGACAAATCGATTTTGTTTTTGGTATAAAAAAATCCCTGCGGTCTTCAATTGCCTGCGTAAATATTGTGCAACATTTTCACATTTTATTTATCGTGCACATACTTTTCGATTTTCCATTAGCCATTTTCTGTTCGCTACCAAAAGCTGCTAATTAAATTCAATACGCTCTTTAAGTATTAATGTTACACATTTGCACGATTAAGCCTGACTCGCTCAGATTTTCTGTTGTGGTTTCACCATGTTTCACTTGTGGCTAACTGGCGTCCAACTAATTTAATTAAAATATACATAGTTGGCGCTTAAGGCTAACAAAGGGAATTAAAATCAATCAGTCAGCACTTTAACTTTGTTTATATTTACATTCTACTAACCATAACCAAATAATATTTTATTTACCATTGACTTTGTGCTCACTAACCTCTAACAAAAATATGTTTTCACTGACCAAACTTAATACCTGACAGCATTTGGCAAATAAATCATAATCCATATTAAAAGAGCTAAAAAAGAGTCTAAAATGGTAATTGAAGTAAACAAAAACCATTGAATGGTATTATTGGGAGAGTGAAAAAAATGTTCTGCACTTAAAAAATACATTTAAAACTAACCAAAGCATAAAATAGTTGAGTTTTTGAAGTAGTTTTTGCATGGCATGTTTGTATTATTTCCTTTCTACTTAATTCAGCCCTTTTTGCTTTATTTTATTTTTTCTCGATTTTTCATGCATTTTCCACGACCATAAATAATAAATATCTGTATTTATTTGTCGCTCTGGGTGAACAGGTTACGGCCACAGATGGCGACAAGGATCGTCCCCAGAATATCGTGTACTTCCTCACGGGCCAAGGCATTGATCCGGATAATCCAGCCAATAGCAAATTCGACATCAACCGCACCACTGGCGAAATATTCGTTTTAAAGGTAAGTCATCAGCGAAAACAATACCGAATGCTTGGCTCGTAATTTAAGCATTAACAAATTGCCAATGGCCAATGTCCAATAGCCGGTGCGCAAAAATGTGTTCGCACACATAAATAAATATAAATAAAATGCGGTATTTAAAAATCCATGTTGGCCAAGGCCGCAGCTGGTCAGAAACTGAAAAATAATGGTGAAAATCCGATGCTCCCGCTGATTAAGCCCCATCAATGTGCACTTAAGCCCGCTTCGAATCAATCCCAATACCCACAAAATGCAAACGTGTGAATCTGTCTACGTGCTCATTATTTAACATTTAAGTTTCATTTTGATGGTCAAAAGGAGGGGGTCCTTTTAAATTAAATACCTGAATGGATTCGTTGAAGCGGAGAAAGTGACTGATGACCCTCAAGGTCTTACTGATTTCGAACGGAAATATTTCATTCGGAAGAAATATGTTCAGTATGTACTCGCGGTACCGCTGCACTTTAAATTTTCAAATAAAAGCCTCTACAAAAGCATCAATTGGAAACTAAATTAAAACTAATTAGAAAATCACAATTGAAAATCCCTCGCCACATGCGAGTTGGAAAATTTCACTTAACTCTAGTGTAGTCCCAAAAACGCCAAAGCCAAATAAAATGAAATTCCCATGCGAGCAGCTAAAATAAAAATAAAACGAATAAATTTCGTGCCATAAAGTTCGTGCATTTTAGTCCATATACTATCTCCCAGCCTCTCTACGTGAATATAATTTTTAGAAAAGTGGCGCGGAGGGCTGGCAACTTGATAAGGGATAACAAACAGATGTACCGCATTTTTTGTAGAAACCCCAGCATGTGACCCACTCACAACTAATCCCTTAAATTGAATATGTCATAACAATGTTGGCAAATTTGTCATGCAAATTAAAGCGATGACTACGCAGTGGTTATGTGCACATATTTTCTTTTATTCCATATTTAAAGGGTATTTTTTGAGGAGTTTTCGCTATTGTAAAGGAAAGAACTAAATAACAGTTAAACTAAAATAATTTTATTATGAAGTCTTTATTTTAAGAGCTTAGATTGCTTTATTATATTTTAATTTTTATAAGAAATTGTTTTTAATTAGCTAAATACGCCCATTATCTGTAAAAAGATTAACTTCTTTATAAAGATCTGACCAAATATTCCCAGAGTATCCTTTGGTGTAATCCATCAGCCAAATGTTACACACACTTTCTTTGTTGTTGTCTCCTCGTATACATTTTTTTTACGACAAATCCAATGTCAGCGCCATGAAAAGCTGCTCTTGTTGTCGGTCTGCTGTGCCTGTCACATGTCGTCGGGGGTTAAGTCAGTCAGAGGGCTAAGGGGTCGCGGGGTTGCGATTTGCTAACAAGGGTTTGGGGCATTATCCAAGGGTTGCCAGGAGCCAACAGATACAAAATACTGATTAAAATCGTTTTTTTCCCTTGCGCTTTTTTATTATTTGAATACGTGTGCGAGGAGGGTTAAGAGTGGGCGGTGTGCAGGGGTTAAGGATGCCCAGGTGAGACCAAAGCACATCACTCAGGCTGTGCTGTGAATGCATATCAAAGTCGCAATCAACATCAGAGACAGGTACAGGTTTCTCCGTTTTTTTTTGTTTGGCTTCCCCGGTATTGTGTAAAAGGATAATTTCATGGGGTAAGGATGAGATGGGGCGGTGGAACCCTTAACCCACAACAATGTTATTTACCCTCCACCCAATGTTAATCGGTTTTGCGTTTATGACAGCTAAAATTACGCAATACACCCTGTGCATATTAACCCATAACATCGTTTTACACTTTAACTCACACTTTTATTTTTATGCCTTTATAGCCCCTGGATCGCGATCAACCGAACGGACGTCCCCAGTGGCGATTCACTGTATTCGCCCAGGACGAGGGTGGCGAGGGACTCGTGGGCTATGCGGATGTCCAGGTCAATCTGAAGGACATCAACGATAATGCCCCCATTTTCCCACAGGGCGTATACTTTGGCAACGTGACCGAGAACGGCACCGCCGGCATGGTTGTGATGACCATGACAGCAGTGGATTACGACGATCCCAATGAGGGTTCCAATGCCCGTCTTGTCTACTCTATTGAAAAGAACGTGATTGAGGAGGAAACTGGGTCCCCCATATTTGAAATTGAACCCGATACGGGTGTGATAAAGACTGCAGTATGTTGTTTGGATCGCGAGAGAACTCCGGACTATTCGATACAGGTCGTTGCGATGGATGGCGGAGGGTTAAAGGGGACGGGGACGGCCTCTATACGTGTTAAAGATATCAACGATATGCCGCCGCAGTTTACGAAAGACGAATGGTTTACGGAAGTGGACGAAACGGATGGTACGGCACTGCCGGAAATGCCCATTTTAACCGTAACCGTACACGATGAAGACGAAACCAATAAGTTCCAATATAAAGTTATCGATAACAGTGGTTATGGTGCCGATAAATTTACCATGGTGCGGAATAACGATGGAACTGGTTCCCTGAAAATCGTACAGCCCTTGGACTACGAAGATCAGCTGCAGAGCAATGGCTTCCGTTTCCGCATTCAAGTCAATGACAAGGGCGAGGACAATGACAATGATAAATACCATGTGGCCTACTCGTGGGTTGTGGTTAAACTAAGAGATATCAATGACAATAAACCGCATTTCGACCGTGCCAATGTGGAGGTCTCCGTTTTCGAGGACACTAAAGTTGGCACCGAACTCGAGAAGTTCAAGGCAACCGATCCAGATCAGGGTGGCAAGAGTAAGGTCTCCTATTCCATCGATCGTTCCTCGGATCGTCAGCGCCAGTTTGCCATTAACCAGAATGGTTCGGTAACTATTCAACGTTCCCTGGATCGCGAGGTTGTGCCGCGTCACCAGGTTAAAATTCTGGCCATCGATGATGGATCTCCACCAAAGACCGCCACTGCTACTCTAACAGTTATCGTTCAGGATATCAACGATAATGCTCCCAAGTTCCTAAAAGACTACAGACCAGTATTGCCAGAGCATGTGCCTCCACGTAAGGTGGTTGAAATTCTGGCCACCGATGACGATGATCGCTCCAAGAGCAATGGCCCACCATTCCAGTTCCGTTTGGACCCCAGTGCCGATGATATTATCCGTGCTTCCTTCAAGGTGGAACAAGATCAAAGTGAGTATATTTTTGTTATCATTAAAGTTGTTTATTTCTCTGCAATAACTTCTGAAATTACGATTATATAGAAATTAACTCAAAAAGCATTTAAAATAATTTTACCCTTGGCGAATGTATATTTTTGTATCTTTCACCCCTTCGATTTGGCAATTTGGTTTCCAAACACCAGCCAATTACTTGTAAATTGCTCCACATACACAACATGAAAAGGTTATAGGAATCTATAAAAATAGTTGCGAGCTGACCAAAACTTTGCCGGCTGCAATGAAAAAGTTTGCAAAATATTTGGGTCAAAGCTTAAACAATGCACTACACTTTTTGCATTTTTTGTGTGTGTGTTCCTGTATTGAAATTTTCTTTCCAAGTATTGAAGGGGACCGGAAAAAAGGGTTGTGTCTAGTGTCACAGAACGCTAACAATAGCATAAAAATGCAATTACATCGTAGAGGATGCCCGAAATGAATAGCCAGGAATCTTTGGCCATAGAATGAAAACCGAAAACCGCATCGCACATGAAAATTTAAATAATATAAGCAAGGCAGCGCAAAAGACTCACCTCCACCTGGGCGAGAAGTAAAATGGGAAATGCACAAGTTTTCAATTAAATTACCCCCGGCCATAGAGAGTCCACCCGCAAAATCCAAACTCCATATGTATGCATCGCAGTTCCCTTCGCAAAGCCAAGAAAAGAAGACCCAAAAAAACAGGGAAAAATGGGGTAAAAGTGCCCAAGCAGTCACAATTTGTGTGGGTGGCAATCCAATTTTGATGCCCCAGCTGGGAAATGGGAAAAGCTGCAAGTTTGGGGGCTTTTGGCAGTCCGCACAACTACGATCCAGTGACTTTATGCAAACGCTCTGGTGCGGGGGGGTAAACAGGAGGCTTTTCCAGACTCCTATTTGCATACAATTTGCCTAAAAACACACCATGGAGTGTCTTTAAAAATACATTTCAAATGTGCGTTCCCGCCCGGAGAACTCTCCTGGGGTATTTTCCCCAACGGGGCAATAGTTTCCCTTCCTCCGGACTTCCAGACTTAACACTTGTTGGCTCAAAGGCGTAATTACAACAAATGGGCCATTGCAGAAGTTGCATCTGCAATCAGGTGGAAAGGAAAACGTGCTGGCTAATAAAAGAGCTTAGTTTTTGGTTTGGTTAGTTGTCAGAGCTTACGGCTAACTGGCAAATGCCTTTGAAGTCCTGAATGGCAACTGGTTTTGGGCAGGTCCTTTGGCAGTTACTTGTCCGAGAACTGGTAGTTTATTCACCTGTAGGCAGATGTAGAATGTTCCTTTTAAAAGTCCCTCAATAGGGAATAAATGGGGTAAATAACCTTTCTTTAGATTTAAAGAAATGTATATTATTTAAGAACTTCGTTAAATTTGCCTTAGATAAAAAAATGTAACTATTTTTATTATTTTCCAATTTACAGAGGGTGCCAATGGTGATGGTATGGCCGTCATTTCCTCCCTGCGATCCTTTGATCGGGAACAGCAAAAGGAGTATATGATCCCGATTGTGATCAAGGATCATGGTTCACCGGCAATGACTGGAACCAGCACATTGACCGTCATTATTGGCGATGTAAATGACAATAAAATGCAGCCTGGCTCCAAGGAAATCTTCGTGTACAACTACCAAGGACAATCGCCAGATACTCCAATTGGTCGGGTCTATGTCTACGATTTGGATGATTGGGATCTGCCCGATAAGAAGTTCTACTGGGAGGCCATGGAGCATCCGAGATTCAAGTTGGATGAGGACTCCGGCATGGTCACCATGAGAGCTGGAACTCGCGAAGGACGCTATCATCTTAGGTTTAAAGTCTACGATCGTAAGCACACTCAAACCGATATTCCAGCCAATGTCACAGTTACTGTGCGGGAAATACCTCACGAAGCTGTTATAAACTCGGGATCAGTGCGTCTATCAGGCATTTCAGATGAGGATTTCATTCGAGTCTGGAACTATAGAACCCAGAGCATGAGTCGCTCGAAAATGGATCGCTTCAGGGATAAGCTGGCTGACCTACTGAACACCGAAAGGGAAAATGTCGATATATTCAGTGTGCAATTAAAGAGGAAATATCCGCCTCTAACCGATGTTAGGTTCTCGGCCCATGGATCTCCTTACTACAAACCTGTGAGGCTAAATGGCATTGTTCTGATGCATCGCGAGGAGATCGAAAAGGATGTCGGCATCAATATCACCATGGTTGGCATCGATGAGTGTCTGTATGAGAATCAAATGTGCGAGGGTAGCTGCACAAATGCCCTAGAAATCAGTCCTTTGCCTTATATGGTTAATGCCAACAAAACTGCCTTGGTGGGTGTTCGAGTGGATACCATTGCTGATTGTACTTGTGGTGCCCGTAACTTCAGCAAGCCTGAGTCGTGCCGAACAACTCCGTGTCACAATGGTGGACGTTGTGTAGATACCAGATTTGGTCCTCACTGCTCGTGTCCTGTGGGCTATGCTGGTCCCAGATGTCAGCAAACCACTCGCAGTTTCCGTGGAAACGGTTGGGCCTGGTATCCTCCTCTGGAAATGTGCGACGAATCTCATTTAAGCTTGGAATTTATTACCAGAAAACCAGATGGTCTAATCATTTACAATGGACCTATTGTTCCACCAGAACGAGATGAGACGCTTATATCAGATTTTATTGCTCTAGAATTGGAGCGAGGTTATCCTAGACTCCTTATCGACTTCGGTTCGGGAACTTTGGAACTGAGAGTGAAGACCAAGAAGACCTTGGACGATGGTGAATGGCATAGGATCGATCTGTTCTGGGACACCGAATCCATTCGCATGGTCGTGGACTTCTGTAAATCAGCGGAGATTGCCGAAATGGAGGATGGTACTCCACCAGAATTCGATGACATGTCCTGCCAGGCGAGAGGACAAATTCCGCCATTCAATGAGTACCTTAATGTTAATGCTCCCTTGCAAGTGGGTGGATTATATCGAGAGCAATTCGATCAGAGTCTGTATTTCTGGCACTACATGCCCACTGCCAAGGGTTTCGATGGCTGCATCCGAAATTTGGTCCACAATTCGAAACTTTATGATCTGGCTCATCCGGGACTCTCGAGGAATAGTCTTGCAGGTTGTCCACAAACCGAGGAAGTTTGTGCCCAAACGGAAACCACATCTCGGTGCTGGGAACATGGAAATTGTGTTGGATCGTTGTCCGAGGCTCGATGCCATTGCCGACCGGGTTGGACAGGACCTGCCTGTAACATTCCTACAATACCCACAACCTTCAAAGCCCAGAGTTATGTAAAATACGCCTTGAGTTTCGAACCGGATCGTTTCAGCACTCAAGTCCAGTTGAGATTCCGAACAAGAGAGGAGTACGGCGAACTTTTCCGGGTTAGCGATCAACATAATCGAGAATATGGAATTCTGGAGATCAAAGATGGTCATCTGCACTTCCGTTACAATCTCAACTCCCTTCGTACTGAAGAAAAGGATCTCTGGCTAAACGCCATAGTGGTTAACGATGGTCAATGGCATGTGGTGAAGGTAAATCGATATGGATCTGCTGCTACCTTGGAGTTGGATGGAGGAGAGGGTCGTCGCTACAACGAAACCTTTGAATTCGTGGGGCATCAGTGGTTGCTGGTGGACAAACAAGAGGGTGTCTATGCAGGCGGAAAAGCTGAATACACTGGTGTTAGAACGTTTGAGGTGTACGCCGATTACCAGAAGAGCTGTCTCGATGATATACGGTAAGTAGTAACGTTAAGCGACCTTATAGTTTTAATCAAGCCCAGATTTTGTTAGGATTATATTAATGGTTCCTATTCGAAATTTATTTTTCATCTGCAGACTTGAAGGCAAACATCTTCCTCTGCCACCGGCGATGAATGGCACCCAATGGGGACAGGCCACAATGGCCAGGAATCTAGAGAAGGGTTGTCCATCAAATAAACCCTGCTCGAATGTGATCTGCCCCGATCCCTTCGAATGCGTAGACCTCTGGAATGTTTACGAGTGCACGTAAGTTACATTATCACCCTAGTAATTCATTTTAAGAAAGTCACCCATTGCTTTTCGTTTCTCATCAATCAAAAAGAAAAATTTAAATCATTTAAGTAAATTGACTGTTCGGACTGTACGCCCACAAACACAACATCTACAATCCCAAAACAAAAAGGGTAAAACCTCAAATTACCCATAAGCCAGAAATGGCGATAAGAAACAGCCAGGAAAATCCAAAAACCAATACCACAAAAAAGAAAACAAATCGAAAAAAATCGGCACCCATAGATAAGGAAGAAAGCTAACATTTGATAGGCTTAATCAATTAAAGGCAGGTACGAAAAAAGAAAAAATACAGCATACAATGTAGGAGAAGGCTAGTCCGGCGAAAAGCTTGTTGGACCTGCTCGTCAAAAGGACCTCGTGCCGGAGATTCGGTTGTACACCCCACCCCGTCCTTTTCGACACACACGGCACAAAAGTCAGTTAGTGATTGGCACTAAACGTTGCGTGACAAATCAATCGGCTTAGGCTTACGTTTCCGATTTCGCTTTGACTTCGGGTTGAAGTCGTTTCGAGAATCGAGATCCAGGGGCAAAGAGCATTTGTCCGGCTTGTGATGGTCTTTGTACATATTCACGCTTTTGTTTCATTACACTCAGAGCAACAGTAACGAGCTTAGCACAGGTACAACTCCATTGCTTTTCTTTGCTTAATACACACACACAAAAACCACACATCACACATTGTTGGCTTTAAGCTTTTGGTCAGTAAAAAATCAATCATCTGAGTAGCGAAAGTCCAAAATAGAAAAATACCGGATTTTAAATCTGTTATTAAAGTGTCTAAAAGTTAGCAATGAAATGGTTAAAAGGGCACTTTGATATAGAAGTATATATATTTAAAATATAACTACGACTTTGGGGAATATCTACGACATAATTATCTGACCTAACTTGGACCTGTCTCAAATATATTAACTTATCCATCACATAATTGGAACATCCATTCGATATTTGAATTTTCGGTTGCCCAGTTTCTGTTGCCATTTTTCCCAACTCAATCTCAACATATTAATGTTAAATTAATGGTATTAAAAATACGAATCGAAATAGTTGCGGCGAAGGACGCATTATGTCGCCCGACTCCAAGGGCTGTATGGATCGCAACGAGTGTCTCGATATGCCCTGTATGAACGGTGCCACTTGCATTAATCTCGAACCCCGACTTCGATATCGTTGCATTTGTCCAGATGGTTTCTGGGGCGAGAATTGCGAACTGGTGCAGGAGGGTCAGACCTTAAAGCTCAGCATGGGCGCCCTGGCGGCGATTTTGGTCTGCCTTTTGATCATACTGAGTGAGCATCGAACCACAAAGTCCACCTTCAAAAAAGATTATATATACCCAAAAATGCAACAACAACTAATAGTTATAATTAAGCAATTAGTGCTTTAGCGAATGCTTAGCGTTTTAGTGTCTATGTTGTCATGTTATTTAAAACTTAATTAGCTGGTCGCAATCATCCAATCAATTTCATGCAAATCCCATTTCATTTTACCATCAATTCGACATTTTCAAAGGCTCTTATGCACTTTGCTTTTATTTTATCATCTCTCACTCACTATCATTTATAAATCCAATCATTCGGCATCAAAATCACGGCTCACCGAATCCATCTTTAATGAAAATTTATATATTCGGCACATGGCTTTCAATATGCCCGGTGACGTTTAACTCATTCAAAAAGGCATTTCCATATTCATCAAACTATGATTTCATCGGCATACCATTTTGAATGTTTGTTTCTGGCACATTTTCCGTTTAGCCTTCCATTCAATGTCTAGTATTAATCCAAATATTTTACGGTGTGTAAATAATTTATTTAACCAAATGAAGGTATGTACTGCTTAATATTTTTCTGGGTATTTAATTTAGACTCAGACTCAGTAAAATACACTACCCATTTAGTTTTTTGCGCTATATACTTTTACCAACTCTATGCCCCCCCTCACACATCTCAAAATGCACTCAAGCTTGAGAAAGAACAAGACCTGAAATGCCCTTCAGGTAAGTTAACAAATGTGCAGTCAAAGATACAAGTTGCCCATGAGGAGACAAGGGCAAGCCACCCAAAACCGAGCAAGAGCAATTGCAGTTGTTAGCTTTGGCATTTCGAGAAATCACGATGCACTAAATCCGCCCACCTTACTAAATACATATATATATATAGAGGAAAAAAGAAAAATACAGACGATGGAGGACTGGAAGATCAGACAGCTCAAAGGAGCAGCTTGGAAAAGTGGCACTAAGAAGCTGCCAGTTGCATTTCGGGCAATGCCTCGCGAGGATTTACTACGTTTGCATTTATTTTTTCTCCATTTCTTACATTAAATGCCGGGTATGTGTTTAAACAGCCAGAAAAATGCCAGTTTCAGGCTTAGAGTTCAGCTTCATTTATATGCCACCTTTGCTCAACGTTTAAAGGTAAATACGATTCGTGAAGCGTAAAAATATTGCTCGAGGCCAAGTCAACTTCAACTAAAAATAAATGACGTAAAATATGGCAAACTTTATAGACGGGAAATTTTCTAAAAAATTATCAAGTACCTTACTCACTGCTGATGGGTTTAAACTACGCACTTGGGAGCAATCGAAGGCAGTGAAAAGCAGCCGAAAGTAGGAAACAAAAACTATTCCTGACTCAACTTTTCAACTGGCGCTGATTTAGTGTGAAAGTTTCTTGCTGCTTTTGAGGTATTTACTCTATCCTCGTCCTTTTCAAGTTGTTTGCTCTCTTTTTTCTCCTTCCCCATTGTACAGAGTACGATGGTCAAACCATGGAATTTGCCAATAATCGTCAATATATCAAAAGTGTCTCGAGTCTGCATTTGAAAAGTATTCAACTGTATTTGCCAAAAAAGGCACTCAAAAGCCATGCATTTTGTAGTAGCTTTGAACTATAAGAAAATCAGATGAAATGTAAACCATTTTTTTTACTTTTTTTCCTTGGCTGAAAGTAATGCAGACTTTATTGAGCAATGTCTCTCAATAGTTTCATAGTTTGAACTATCACTTTTTAAGAAAACATCCAATAAGATTAATTACTTAAATAAATAAGATATATAATACTTATTTAAGAAGTGTAATGGACATTTACTTTAACTAAAATCTATTGCAACCATGACCTGGATTTATTTAAATAATTTTTTTTCCCTACTTGTCATCATCTTGGCGAATTTACTTAGAAAGGAGATTGCTTTTTTTTTTAAAGAAAATAAAGAAATCCCATGCATCTCAATTACTCAAACGTTGAGTCAAGGAAATCTCCCTTGGCCATTTCACACCTCAATTCGTAAAGGTCGACTGACATCGCAAAGTTTTTATCTTTCAACTTCTTTAAAAAGCTAGTGTGAGTGCGTTACCCAAAACTAATCAAAACAAACTTACGAACGAAGGCAAAAGTATAGTAAGGAAAAGTGAGACAAAATAAAATGAAATTCAACTTATCCCAAGAATGCATATAGAGAAAAAACTTTATTCAATTTCAACCATGGAAACAAAAACTGTTACATAATAATCATAAAGGAAAACAAAAATTGTAAAAACAGCACTTAAGATGCGTGTTAGGATGGGATGGGGAAGTCGATGAAGGGCGTTGTGCAATGCAAATGCAAAAAGTTTGTCCCTCCATCAAAAAACAAAACTAAAAACTTACAAAGCGTAAAATAATAACGACAATGGAAAACTAGGAAAAAATGCTAAAGTTGCAACGAACGTTTAAGAAGACTTTTTGACAGTTTTTCACACTCTAAGAGGATGAGAGCGAAATACAGCAAAGGAAAATATTCCATTTTCATAACTATTCAAACGAAAAAAGTGATGTATGCGAACACTGAGGGAAAATTAATATCTTGTTTTTACTCTGATGTAAAAACTTTTACCATATCTTTTTTTGAATATTTTGTTTAGAATTTTATTCTTGATATTATAATCTTAATTTTTTCCCAGTGTAACAATATGCAAAAACTTTATCCAAGACATACCCATACATCACAGCCCTGCATGATGGAACAAATTTTAAATAATTTCTTTTATTTTTTCAACACTTGAACCACACACACACCACCTTTCATACATCCCACATCCACTCGAACAACCAACCAACAACTCGTATACGTAACTTTTTTGGGGTTCGTCCTGCAGCTGTCCGGCTGGCTACAAAAGCTCCGGCAGCTCTTGTATCAACGACAACGAGTGCCTACTGTTCCCGTGCCGCAACGGTGGTAGGTGTCGCGATCATCATCCTCCAAAGAAGTACGAGTGCCACTGCCCCATGGGCTTCACCGGCATGCACTGCGAACTGGAGTTATTGGCCTCCGGCGTATTGACGCCATCCCGTGATTTTATTGTCGCCCTGGCACTCTGCCTGGGCACTCTGATACGTAAGTATATACCAAGTAAACCAATTGAAAAGATGTGGATTCGACTTTTGGTTAAAGTAACTACTAAGTATAAGGTTTGACTATCTTAAAGATATGAAAAAGTAAGAGGAAAGTCAGTAAATTTGCTTACTTGCATGCTTTAACCCAATCTTAACCTAACTGATTGATTCATTTTTTAAACTTTTTGTTAGATCTTTTATTTCATATCTAAATTATGGTTTCATAGTTTCATTCCTTACTTAAAAATACATTTATATAACTTATATTCAGTTTTAATTCCTTAATCTCACCTTGATTTTCCTATGCCAATTAAAAGTTTAATCAAACGTTTACATGTCCTTTAAATATTGATGGCATCGCGAGTAAGCCATAAAATTAATTAAGTCTTACAATCAACAATCTGCAATGACCGGAAACGACGGATGCCGGCAAGCAAACATGTCAAAAGTCATTTCCGCAAATTACATAACACAACAAAAGTCCTTCCATAAATTAAATTCAACGGTCAGCGTAAATTTTTTGCATATCAATTTTGGGCGTTGCCGCGAACAATCGAAGTACAAATGAAATATCGTTCGTAGAGAATATTTTATTTTGGTTTGGCGAATGCGTATTTGACTTACACAATAATTGCAATTATATGCCGGCCATCTGGCAGAAAAACCGGGGAAAAAGGAAAAACTTTCGCGCAGACGAAGAGAAGTAGACGCAGCAAATTACTTAACGTCAACTTCAAGTTGTGGTGGCAATTTCGACGGCTCCGGAATGCCCAAAAACTTTTTGTTTTCTCAGGGTTTTCCCGTGCAACAGATGCTGTCTGCGTTCAGCAATATGGCGAAAAACGCGTTGGCAAAATTAGAAAAGCTACGGAGAGACAGCGGATTCAAGTCGTCAGCAGCTTGATTTGCTATTTTCTGTTGACCAGAAAACTGGGACAATGTTTGCAATATTTGTTTAGGTCTCCTTTTATTTTCATTTTCCTTCACTTTATTTTCTCCTATTTCGTTTTCTTATTTTCCTCCTCTCCGTTTTCGTAGTCCAATTTAATTAAGAATTTTTCCACCAGCTAATAGCGTTCAGATATTTTTCGGATTCGCTTTTCCGCCGTTTCAGAGAAGTATAACTGAAATTGTTCTGCATGTTAAATTAAGCGTTGTATGGTGCACTTTGTGTAATCTTGACTAGTTGTTGTTGCATACAGAAGGAGGAGAGCAGAACTTGAGGGGAAATTGTATTTTAATATTCTTGAATCTTAACTATTCACAGTACTCGTCTTGGTATTCGTCGTATACAATCGTCGCCGTGAGGCGCATATCAAATATCCGGGTCCCGATGACGATGTGCGCGAGAATATTATCAACTATGACGATGAGGGAGGCGGCGAGGATGATATGACCGCCTTTGATATCACACCCCTGCAGATACCAATTGGAGGGCCAATGCCACCTGAGCTGGCGCCTATGAAAATGCCAATTATGTGTAAGTATTCTCAGAAATTTTCCCATTTCAGCGATATAGTAAAATTCTATTGTTGTTCTATTAACGAGAAAGTAAATTTTATTTACTATTTCTTTAACTAATAACATTTTGTTCTTCTACATTCCATTTGCAGATCCCGTTATGACCTTAATGCCAGGTCAGGAACCCAATGTGGGCATGTTCATCGAGGACCATAAAAAGCGCGCCGATGGTGATCCAAACGCGCCGCCTTTCGATGACTTGAGGAATTACGCGTACGAGGGTGGCGGCAGTACAGCTGGATCGCTTAGCTCATTGGCTTCAGGTAGGCCCTTTATAAAATGCATTCTAATTAAAAACTAGATTGTGCACCCAATATGCAGCAGTTTAGACACGAAACTAGATCCTACAGCCCGAAGTGCCCCAAAAAGTAGGCTACAACTAAACTAGAAAAGCATTCATAGCGTGCAATTGAAAAACGAAAACTAGAGCACTCGATTTGTTGTTGACTCATCATCTTTTCTGACATTTCCAGGCCAACGTGTCTCAGATACATCTGAATATTGGGTGTAAATTTAGGAGAAAACCTAAAATCATAAATGGTATTCCTGTCTTTTATATTGCCTTTGCTTACACAAAGAGAAAAAAACACTAATTAAGACTATGCTTATAGGCAATAAATTTAAAGAATTTTTGATAATTGGCAAGAAAAGTAAAATTGATATTAGAAAGGCTTTCAAAAATTTTCCCTCTTATTTTGTAGTTAACAAACTTGAAATTAAATATGAATTTCCGATTGTGCATTTTCCTATTTATTGCAGGAACTGATGACGAGCAGCAGGAGTATGATTACCTTGGAGCCTGGGGACCACGCTTCGACAAGCTGGCCAATATGTATGGACCCGAGGCGCCCAATCCCCATAATACCGAACTAGAATTGTAAGCTGTCAGACCGAGGAGAATCGATGAATCGAGTGGGGAGAAGGGCAAGACCGAATCCAAATCCGATGCGGATACCTAGATGAACAAACTAAAAACTGTTAGTAGATACAAAGTTGCATTTAAAACGAAATGAAAGCCCCACACTCGAGGGAAACTCACACACAAAGAAAGCGCAACCAAAGAAGCATCTCAATGCTGAAGTTGGCAGAACTCTCTACGTAAATGGAAACTAAGAACTAGAAAACTAAAAAAAAAAAAGAGGGAAGGGAAATGGATATGGAAATGAATTAAAAATCAAACACATATTATGACACGCAAAATGACATTTGTAAAAATATTTCATCAGCATTTAAATTTAAAACAATTACCATAATGAGATTAAGTTATTAGGGCAACCCGATCCGAAAATTAGGGTTGCACATTTTCCAGCATTTTTTGCGGGCAAGTTAAGAACGAGTTAAACGAAAAAAAAATTAAGGAAATTAAAGGAAATGAGAATTGTAATATGTAGGAGAGAGCATACCAAAGTTTAGTTTAGGAGCGCTTATGAATTTATAACTTTAGTTCTTGAACAGATTTGTTGTGCATATTATTTTAAGTTGTAATTATTATTTAAGAATATTTATTTAAGAATTTTCTGTTTATAAGTTCGTGACATTTGTGAGAGTCATTTAGCCTCTAAGACAGACAAGAATTCTCAAAGCCTTTAAATTATCGATAGCTTAAGTTCTCTTATTTGGCATTTATTTTTAAGGATTACAATTAAACAGAATTAAAACTTATATAAAGGAATACCCAAAGACTGTTTTCGTTCCATCATAACAAGTATATACATACATTAAAAAAAAAACACAAACATATATATATTAACATAAAAACATTACGAAATTTTTAACTGCAAGTCGAGGGGCATTTCAAAAATTGCCGCATTGTGTATCATTCAATTTAAAGTAAACCACAATCGGCAATCTCTGGGCAAAATGTCAGGATAAAAAAATCTCCTAAAAATATTCTAAATGCAGAAAACCTATGCTAAAAATCTCCATTCAAAGCGAATCTTGCCGAAGAAATGCTGGCAAAGTAAAGTAAAGAGTAAAAGTAAAAAAAGAAAAATTACCTTTAGATGAACTTAGCGCAATTGATATAATTAAAATGAATACTTAAAAAGAAACAAAAAAATATATATATATTAATGATGAAAAAATGGAAAAGTATTTTACATTGTATATATTATTAGTTTTAGCACGTATACAAAGAATCACATAGACACAACAACAATATTAAACCAAATGAAATTGGTAGCAAAACATAAAATCTTATTAAGTCATTTCAACTAGAGTGGAAGAACGCATTCAAATTAAAACAAATAAAATCCTCCATATACATAAACCCAAAACAAACTGCATTTAAAAACAAACAAACTTTTTCCACACGACAAAGCAAACGTTTTTGCAGGTGAACTGTTTTTTCTCCATTTGTTTGCCGCAACTTTTATCGACAGATAATAGTAGCAAATATTTTTCATTTTCCATTTGTTGTTTCATAGACCCACACATAATAAAATTTGATTTTATAAGTTGAATTCACGTTATTGTTTTCAAATTCAAACTGTCAGCCAGAAAAACAAAATCAGACAAACAGGTTACCGATTACAGATTGTAGAGAACCGTAAGTACATAATATATAAAGAAATATATAAATGAAATCTATCTAAATCATAGAGTTTTCCAGGCAGCATGGCCACAAACTTGATCCTATTGAAAATTCCCTTTCAGTTCCTTAATTTTACAGATTTTCCCTTAAGGCAGATATGAAACACCAAACACCGAACACAGCCAGACACACAAATTTCGGTATTCGAATTATTCCTACTACCACAAGTGAAAAGTTAATAAAAAGTACTTAAGCAACACATACCATATACATATAAACAAGTGGAAATGGAGAAAAATCTAACAAAACTGCAACAAAAGTTGACTATTGAAAAGTGCAAAGATTTTAACGTAATTGTTAAACCATACAGCGAAATAAATAATAATAATAAACTTCTCTGCTGTACTTGTTTAAGAAAATTCATAGAAATTTTAAAGCACATTAATTGTTAAATCGAACCTTAACTCGAAGTAGCCATTTACGGATAACCAAAGCCATCTTTTGCATGATTTGCCAGCGCAGTGAAGCTACAGTGCGGTTCGGTACAGCAAGTCCGCAATTAAATTGACACACAGAAGACACTGCCAAAATTATGGTATAGTTTAGCAAAAACTCTTTAAGGTTAATTCAACGAACAGTTCCTTTTTGGTTTTCGCTTTTCTTTCGCGCACTGAACTTTTCATTTGGCCTTCTTTCTAACGCATCTGACTATGAATAAATTTTGCATTTATATATGTATAGGTCGAACAGCAAACTGAAACGAAACAAAAATACATCTCAAACAACCACAAAACAAACACATTGAACAAATGCAAACATTTTAAATTGAAGACATTCAGATAAACAGCAAACAAAAGAACCGAAACGATATTTTATATTTATTACAGCAGAAAAAACACATAGAATATAAACCAAATTATTAGAATGGCAAGTGAATTATATACTCATTTACACGTATTTGTTATATATTTTGTAATGTAAGTTAGAGGCATATACTATATATTGAATAATGCACAGACACATATACATATATAATGCGAAATACATTTACAGACACACACATATAGAATAACACAATGACAGACTGACAGTTAGACAGACCTACATACATACATGCGATGCAAGAATCATACTATTTGATAACTATGTATTTATAATGTATGCATTTTTTACCAACCCAAAAACAAGCGGCAACAAAACCGAATCTCCTCTATGAAACATTAAACCCATTAAGTCAAATAAAATGGAAAGCATACTCTCACACACACACACCAACATAGAAGAAAATGGGAAACCAAAAAGTATATAAAAAACCGATTTGAATGCAGTTTTAGATAAATTTGCATATAAGTACATTATTATGTAAAATCACTTTAATATACAGTAAACAGAAAAGGAAAACGGAAACTAGTATTAAAAACAAAAAAGAAATTATGAATAAATTACGAGTAATACAAACAAAAGCAAAGCAACTGCTAGAAAAACTAACAAATCAATTGTGTCAGTATCGAAAATGATAAAAATGCTAATTAAGTAAGCGACAGAGAAAGGCGTGAAAAAACGTGTAAGCTAATCACGCGCCACTTGTGGAAAATGGGGAAAATATTTAGTTAAGAAAACCTATACACGAACATACACACAAACAACATTGACATATATACACACACACACACACATTCACTCATTGACAACAAGAACAACTGCAATTATATTAAACAAGAAAATTATTATAAAAGCAAGAAAACACACAAAAAGAAAAGTGGAAAGCAAACAAAAAGAAAGATAAAAAAATAAATAAAGAATCTGTAACGTTATATGAAAAACAAAAATAGAAAAATTGTGATTTCATTGAAATGTCATGGGAAAATGGAGTGGGTACTAAGAAAGCAAAAAGTTAGTTAATTAACATTCCACAAAGGAATGTAATCGTTTAGTATTGCATTATTGTTTAATATTTATTTTAGTAAAAAAATTTCAATATATACATAATGAATGGGTAGAGTGCTTTAGGGTACTTTGGAATGGTAATTATTATTAATAAACATAAATTCTATCATCCCATTCATTTGAAGCCTTAACTTAATATTCAGTATGCTTTACATTTTCTGGGAATTTGTAATTTAAGCGCTTTACTAGCTTATGATTGATAATGTTGTATAACTTTGTTGTATCAATATATCAATTGTAAATGTTTGTATCTACTAGACAGAAATCTCTTGTTATCTTAGCATTACAATGGCCATTCCATATTCAGGTAGCTTCCAAGAACATTGATATTTGTTTATTTGTATATTACATATTGCTTTGCAACAAATGAAACCAATATTATGCCAATGTCAATGTTGTGTCTGATATGCTCAAAGCCTTGGGCCAGACACTCGCAGGATCATATTATATCCTTATTCGGCCCGAGTGTGTTTCCTTTGTCTGCTGTCACACTACCGCTATCAGCAAATATAACTAGCAGTAACTATAAACATACAAAGCACACAAAACAGGGAAACACTTTTGCCCCGAGAAAAGAATGTACAAACACCCACACAGCGATGCAACGATTTTGCTAAGAAATGCGGGAGGTTTTTAAAATGGATTTGGCTTTTGCTATTGGTCCCGACTACAATTTCCTTTTCTCTAGTCAAAAAATGAAATCTTTACTTCCACCACAAAGCGAGAATATATATACAAATATAGTACAAGAAGAAGGCCAGGAGGTTTTCCTCCTTTGCATTTTCCAGTGAGGCATCAAATTTCCAATATTATTGCTCCCTGTTGAACATTTGTCTTGCCCTTTTCGCTGGCTCTTGGCACGTTCCAACAATTGTTTAAGGCGCCAAAACAAATTGCGCATACGCCAAGTGGTGCGGGTGGAGGAAAATGTAAATGTATATGCAAACATTCACTTCAAGCACAATTTATAAGCCACAATTTGTGCGGACTATTTTTAGCTAAACAATTTGTTTAGCCGTCTCTTTGCAGCTGTCGATTTATTGGCCAACCCTTTCCATCGAAATACCACCCATTCCCCTACTTTCACCCATTTTCTCCACTTTCCCCGGTTTGATTTCATTGTCATGCTTTCGGTTTTGTTTGTTTTCCACCACTCCAACCTCGGGTATTTATGGGTTTTTGTTTTTGGGCTGCAAAATTTATGAATTTCACACTGACAAGAGCCGCTCGTTTATCTCATCTAATAAGTTTCGCTTGTTGCTCCTCAGCCCTCAGACTATCGAACTTTCCATTTCCTTTCGAATTTATTCTTGCTTCTCCAAGGGCATGTTGCCCTTGCTCATTTGCAGTAAAAATTCTAGTTATGGCGTTAGTGGAAAGCACATGGAAAAAAAAATGTACAGTCTTTAAGATATCAGATAAATAAACCTAAGCAGTTTTTTCTTAAAATATAGATATTTGCAATACTATTTAAATATTTTTTAATATTTTATTTAATTTAAATTTCACTGAAATACTCATTAATATTATATATTACAACACAATTGTTAAATTCTTCATCTATCATATTTATTATTCACTTTTTCTGTGCACTCTGTATTGATTCTGAGCTGGGCATCAGCTTGATGGGCCAGCTGAATGTTTCGATTTCAGTTTTCGCTCATGGGCTTTTGGCTCTCGCTTCGTGTGTGTGGGCTTTTTTTTTATAGCAGGTTGTTAAAGGCGAACATTTCTCGATTTTGGCAGCCGAACAAAGTGAAGAAGCAGCAACGACTCGCAATAAATTTGGCATTTTTTAGTTAAGTGCTGCAGTTTATGAAATTGCTCTAGGCAAACTTTGAATGGAATTTAACAAGCGAAAGATGAGCAAAGCTTTAAAAGTGGAAAAATCGTAGAGACACGTGAAAGTCATTTGTGGACGCATTTGGCCACTGATTTCATCTCATTCAATTGCGAATGATACTTATCATATTTGCTCTTCAAAGAGGAATTCAAAATCAAGGCATTTTCAAATGCTATTTTGCGCCCGAAAGCATGCAGTAAATATGCGCACTAGATAAGCACATGTCATCTACATATGTTCGAAACGGGCCGAGATTCCGGCTTTGTTTTCTGCAGCCCACATATTTCAATATTTTGCCAACATGTCACATAGATGACATTCATTTCCTACAGTCAACACGCACAATTTGTCGCTCGCAAATGAAATGAAACGCTCCAAGACAACAAAGTCAAACGGCGGAAAGAGCAGCCCAACAGCACCAGCGAACTCGTACAAATCCCCTGACACACCGGAAAATCTTGAAGGAAAAAGCCAGAAAAATGAAAATAACAAGGGGGAAAATGGAATGAGCATAACATGTTTTAGCCCAAAAGCGAAAATCAACACATGCAAATGCGGAAAGTAAGAGCACGAGCTGACAGCTCCAGGCCAGATGGCTGTGAATAGATTTCAAAAAATGTTTAACAATATGTATACACAATGAAAAAAGTTTGAAACTGACCTTGAGGCGTTTTAGATTTTTAATTGCAAATATATTTATTATTAACATGAAAAAGTGTTTGTTTCGTTTTGGTAATTATTAGAAAATAGGGGTAAAACATGCAATAAGAAACTCAATAACTATCATGTTAAATAATGGTAATTTATTGCTATAATAGCATTAAGCTTTAATATCATTAATATATAGATTATAATTATAATAATTGTTTTTATAAAAACTATTATTATTTTGCTTTGTGCATCTGGAGTTCATACAAAAGCATGTATACCTAAACCCACGCTTGTACATCACGGAAATACTTGAAATGCCCAGAAAAAAGATGTGAGCTCCCCAAATGAACCTTTGGAAAACTTGAGCAATTTAAATCCTAATCGGACGCTCAATTTGATTGCTTAGCCCCCTTGCCACTTGTGGTTGGTCGTTAAGGCCAACTTGTCAGTCAATCAAAGGTCAAAAGGGTTGCCCTAGGATGGCAAAGAACACAAAAAAGGATAAGGGACAACCGGTCGCTGGCTGACAAGCATTAAATAAATAGCAAGGATCAATTTAGAAACATATTAAATTTTGTGGCTACAAATTACTTAATGAATGTGGGAATGCCTGGGGACTCCGTCGAGGCACGAATGGGATATATCCTTTTGGCCAAATGCAAATACTTTGGCTCACAGGCGGCCTTGAGTTCTTGAGTGGGGCGCCAAAAATGTTGATTGTTTGCTCCTGCCCCGGAAATTTGCATAAACTGTCGCCGAGCACGTCTGACGAGCTATCCCAACCATCTAATTGAGCCGAAGGAGACGGGTTTAAGCTTGTTTTAATTGCATTAGAGAAATAGATGAATCACAGGCACAAAAACCAAAGCTCTGGTCGAGATTTCTCCATGTTAGGCGGACAGATATCAGCATGTCAAACGGTTAACCACTATTTCTGAAATTAATTGATAACTTTGGTTCGTGGATTTTTGGTCTGCACATCCCACACATCCACTCACTTAAATTAATGTTCTCTTTAGTCTCCGGGTCAACATTTAATGCCTTTGGGTGTTGGTGTCTGGAGCGGTTATCGGATTTAATGTTCTGACCATGAGATTAGTTCATTAGTATATATTAAGTGATGGCTCAATAACGACTAATCCTCTGTAGCTGCATTGCAGTTAGAATAGACTTATCTTAGACTTACTAAGGTTGCACTAAGCAAATTGAAATTTGTGTGGGATAATGTGAGTGAATGGTAATTTTAGTATGGCTGCTGTCCTTGTTAATGACATTATTATGTACGGAATGTACGTTTCTACTATACTTTGAAGTTTTTATGTTACAGTACAATAACAAAATTTTCAAGCTGTCTAAAATATGAATTCAAAAGATTTTATAATAAATTTGATAATGCAGCAGCTCTCTTCGCCGCTTCGCTTTTAGCCAAAACTGAGTTAACTCCTAAGAAGATTGCCAGTGCAGTAAGTTCTTATCATCCTATCCGCGCAATCTAGATAATAAGATTTAATATTGCAGCTACTTAGATAACAAGCTAAATCAGATTTTAATGAAATTCAAGAGCTTCAGTTAAGAAGGGAAATTACCTTGGATTTATTTCAATATCGAAATCCATTAAGATATTCGGGAAAACACATAATAAGAAAAAGAACCTTAAGAAAAACAAGCCCCCACACTGGAGATCACGTTTCTTTTTCGCTTTGAGTAATTTTCAGCACAATGTCCCAATGCGACTCGAAACCGGCTCAACTCTTTCGAGTAATTTAAATGTATGTATGTGCACAGATAGGACGGTAACATTTTCTGATTGCTTTCCATTTGCGGAAGAGATTTTCCCCCCGTCAGGCGGAGGATGGATATTCATTTAATAAAAGCCAACAGCGAACAAATTTTAATGAAAGACTGCCAGTGGTAGTGCTGGTTCGGTCCGTGTATCCTGGATCCTGGGACCGTCGCATATGTCTGCGTTAGCCTTAAGCGTGTACAGTAGAGCCCCGAGGCGAGAACGAACCATGAACAACCGAACCAACAACAGAAGTTACAACTGCAACGGCAACTACAACATCAACTGCAATCGTTATATCAATGGGCAGCAGAAGAGGTAGAACAAGGGAAAACGAGGTGGAAAGCCGGGAAATCTGGGAAAAAGACGAAAATAAAAATAGGGGGACCATGAAGGAAGGAAACCCACTGCGTTTCGCTACTTGCTGATAAACTCTTTGGCAGGGCTTTTGACGT